GGAGGGAAGAGAATGGCAGCAGACACAGAAGCATCAAGAGACATAAGGCCACACCTGAAATCCTTTGATCCATGATAGGTCTGCAGCGTTTCCCAGAGTAACATTGATGTTAAATGTGTTGTCACAAACAAGCTCTACGGTAATACTCGGCCTACAACTTAACCAATGCCACTTGAATATCTAACGCAAAAAAAAAAAAACAAAAAGACAGCACAACAAAAAACAGATTATCCCAATACAATACAATACAATACAATAACCTTTATTTAACGTGGTCAAATGTTCTTAGCTAATTAGCTTCTTTACAGACATGCTACGAAAAGTAAATAAATAAACTAGGAATAATAATAATAAAATAGATTTCTCATAAAAACCTAAATAAAAATATATTTATACAATTAAAAAATGATGAAAACTAAGAGTAAATCACGATTAAACTGTAACATCAGCAGGATCGACATAACAACAACTCGCACCTTTAGCATAGTTTAACAAGTAACTGAGGACCCGTTTATCAGTTCTCTTCATCAAAGATAATACGCACTTATATTCATCAGTGCACAGGAAGATTTAAAAAAGTAACCAGGCACGCTTTTGACGACTGAGTTTTGCGCGTATTTTTGAAAAAAAATATTGAGCGTTTTCCAGGACGTTTTTTGTGTTTTCATAACCTTATCTTAACACGAGAGGGATTACGAGAATCGACCATTTCCGAATTCTAAAAATCCTTTCTTTTGAAAATGAGTTATATTCACATGAAAATTACAAAAACAATTTTCATTTCAGTGGTTAAGCTCATGGCAAATCACTTGAAATTAGAGGCATCGCGCATCTCTAAATGGTCTTGTATCGACTGCAGTTTGCACAAGGGTCATGCATTCTATCAAAACCCGCCTCTCTTGCCTACTGAAGGCGCTACAGGAACACTCTCCAATAACTTAGACTCTCACCTCTTCTTTCAAATCTACTTCCTCTGATCCAGTCCCCTGTTCCTGCTCAGACTCTTCATCGATCATATCCTCTTGAACAACATCATCGCTTTTAATGACCCAGAAACGTCTGTGGATGCATAGTTGAATAAAACAATCCAAGATAAATCAGTTATCAACAATCAGTTGGATTCCTTGGGATGGGAGGTTGTGCAGTTAAGAAACAGGTATCCATATCTCAACCTACGCAGTACGCTCTTAATTTCACTTGGTAATTCAGACCAGCAAGCGCGAGTTGTAAGTCACGTGCACAGAATACAGAGTGTGTCTGATCTTTCGCATGTGTGTTACCCACATACTCAGCGAGTGCCAGCTTCGCGGGCTTCTCGTATTTTGAACTTTCCATTTACATTTCCAACAGGTGATAACTTCTGTAGCATTTTATATCCTTGATAATCAATCCGTGTTATTCCCAAAACGGTTTACAGTCAAGACGCCCGAGAGTCATCTCGCCCGAAGTCATGTCGCCCGAAACCTGAGTCATGTTGCACGAAATTTTAGTAATGTCGCCCGAAAGAAAAAAGTCAAGTCGCCCGAAGAAACAATTACCAAAAAGATCAGAATTTCAGACTGTTAATAGGCAATAACGTTGAGAATTTTTTATCACTAAAACGCTCTTTGTTTCCGACAACACCATGAAGATTCTTAAAGCGTCGTTCGTTCCTAACTACAAAGGGAAACTTTGTTCGTTTCCAACAAAAAATGAAGCATTGTTCGTTTGTTATGTAATCGTTTCTTACTCACGGACGTTTCGTAAGCTTGAGAAACTCTTTCTTGGTTTCTAACAATACCATGAAGACTTTGACTGCACAGAAATCGATCGTATGCTCGGAATTTAAATATGTTTGAGTAACGATCCTAAAAGCGTTGTTCGTTTCTAACAACAAAAGGAGGCGTTCTCCATTTCTAACAAAAAACTGAAGGGTCGTTCGTTTGGTATGTACTCGTTTCTTACTCACGGACATTTCGTAAGCTTGAGAAACTTTTTCTTGGTTTCTAACAAAGCCATGAAGACTTTGACTACACAGAAATCGATCATATGGTCAGAAAGACCATATGATCGACCATAATCGTAGCACTGTAGGGCTTGTTGGCGTGGTCTAACTTCATCATCACACTCAATGCAAGGATGAATGCTCATTTTGATCAGTTGGTAATCGTATTGTAGCTAGCTTTACCCTCTTCATTATATATAAAATATACATGCGACCGCCAGAGGAAACAGAGCACAGCTACATAATTTATGCCTATTCTGATCCTAAGGGAAATGATGCTATCAGACTACTACTGTGAAAAAAGTCACAAGCATAAACAATAGACTGTTATCTTAAAAATATCAGACTTACCTTACGCAAGGCAACAAGTTAGTTTTTAATGTTACGAAGTTCACAAAAGACACAACATAACTTTATTTGTATGTAACTCGCGTTACCTTTTACCGACTGGTCGAACGCGATAATCGACATTCGTTTACCAGATGTTTTCATCTGTTATTATTACGAAAGTCACAAATAGACACAACAGAACTTTACTTGTATGTTTCGCTGCATCCGTGCATTTGTTGTTATAGAAGCGAACAACACTTCCCTCTGTTGTTAGAAACGAACAACGCTTTTAGAGTCGTTACTCAAACATATTTCAATTCTGACCAAACAATCGATTTCTGTGTAGTCAAAGTCTTTATGGCATTTTTAGAAACAAGAAAGAGAAATGTCCGTGAGTAAGAAACGAGTACATACCAAACAAACAATGCGTCATTTTTATGTGAGAAACGGAGAACGCTTCCCTTCGCTGTTAGAAACGAACAACGCTTTTAGAATCGTTACTCAAACATATTTCAAATCCGAGCATATGATCGATTTCTGTGTGAAACGATCACATACCAAACGAACAACGCTTTATTTTTTTGTTGGAAACGAACAACGTTTCCCTTTGTTATTAGGAACGAACAACGCTTTAAGAAACTTCACGGTGTTGTCGGAAACAAAGAGCGCTTTAGTGATAAAAAATTCTCAACGTTATTGCCTATTAACAGTCTGAAATTCTGATCTTTTTGGTAATTGTTTCTTCGGGCGACTTGACTTTTTTTCGGGCGACATTACTAACATTTCGTGCAACATGACTCAGGTTTCGGGCGACATGACTTCGGGTGAGATGACTCTCGGGGCGACTTGACTGGTTACCCCCAAAACAACTTGATTTAAACGTATTGATAGTGAAGGAAAAATATGAAACTGAACTTACATAACATAAACTGTACTTACTTTGAAGTATACACTGAACTTGTTACACAGCCTTCTTTCTTGGCTACAGCTCTAATGACAAAGAATCCAGCTTGGGCTAGAAAAATTCCTTTCTTCTCACTGTAATGCTTTGAAAAGGAAAGAGAGTTGAAGGTTACGTTCACTCAATATCGAAAAAGACAACACAAATGATCGAATTCTTACAATACTAAACCTCTAAGTCCCTTGCCATGGATCTTGCCGTGTACTGAAGAAAGTATTGCCGTGTCGACAGTTTACAAAATTTAGTGGTCAATTCTAAGCTCTGAAAACCATAGGAAAACCAAAACAAAGTGTAACCCTTACCATAAGTTTTGAATTGTACTCAGCTGGGTAGGATCCATCCAGAGTGTAACATATTTCTACTTCTTCTGTTTCACATTCCAGGAAAACTTGATAACCACATTCAACCTTTAAAGAGTAACAGCACACCCTATCAGAACCTGTCAAGCACACCCTGTCAAACCTGTCAGTTTTTCATTAGCCTCATACAAGTGTTTTTAATCGATCCTGGACGCGAGGAGAAGATTTTAAAGACACTTACATTTCCTCCGTCTTTCTTACCAGCAGGAATCCCAGGTGGTCCAACATGCGCAGCTAAATACGTGAAACAAAAGATAGGTCTCTCAATAACATTCCTTGTAAAGTAGCTTGCTATAAATTTCATCCCAGAATATCTTTGGTATCCTCGTGACAAAGAGTAAAGTATGTATAGCTTTATAGATAAACTTATCTCACCCTTTTCTAGGACTTCCACTCTACACAAATGCCCATCGGTTCCTTCTGATGATATGAAATATGTTCCAACAACATCAAATGTGTGAAAAAATGTACTGCGAGTTGTCATCTGACCACTGTTAAAAGCCGAGAGACCAACCACACGAGAGAGGGGCAGCTTAAAAAAAAGGTACATATAAATAAATAAGATATAATGTAAATATCAATTAAATAACACATCAGATCAGTATGGTGTATATATATGTATATGCATAGATAGATATATATATATATATATATATATATATATATATATATGTATATGTGTATATATATATATAAATTATATTAATAATAAATGTATTAAGTCCATGTTGAGAACCGGGCAGCTCCGCTAGTTTATACTTAGGATGCATAATGTGGTCAGATAAAAGATGATAACACTTTAGAATCTTCTACTGTCGAGTATTCTGGGTTTCTTGTACTGGTCACGCGGTAGTTTCTCCTGCACCTTTCTAATACTTCAATTTAATTTAACTCTGTCACGGTTAACAAAGAAAAATGGCTGTCTATTGTAAGAGGGCTGTAAAAATGACACAAACAGAGAAATGAAAACTTAACGGACTGCGGCGAGGAGAAGGGTAAACTCCCAGTTACCCGTCCGATGTCGAAATCACGTCTGAACTGAGTTGTATAAAAACGTTTTGACAATCTTTCTATTAACTCTGTTGACATTGTAACTAGCCATCAAAGGATTCATACACCCCTTCAGCATTTCCAAACTCAGTGGTGATCTTCTAATAACTTGCGAAACACGAATTTCTCTAAGAATAAGGCTTATCCTGTGAAAGTAGGGAAGAATCACAGTCTCTTTCCATAAGCCCCAAGCATTAGAAAGCATTACCTCTTTAGCCTGGGGTGGTCTTACATGGATAATGTTATGTTCTTCATTTTCTTGGTTCTCCCATGTCCAAAGAATACACTGAGACTTGAAAATAAATAAATGATATGAAAAATACAAGATAATTTCATTTGGAAAATAACTCAAAATGTATAACTTAATGCTATAATAAAGCAAATGTCCAAGTTTATTTCCAATTTAAATGTACAGTAACTTTTCAGTACCTTTTCTAATGATCAAGCAGATGGTTTGAACCCCTCAGCAACACAATATTATTACCAAATTAAATGAACAGTAACATTTCAGTACCTTTTCTAATATTTGAGCAGATGGTTTGAACCCCTCGGCAACACAATTTTTCTTCCAAATTAAATGAACAGTAACATTTCAGTACTTTCTCTATTGTTAGAGCAGACAGTTTGAACCCTTCAGTACCACAAGCTTAGTTTCAATTTAAATGAACAGTGACATGCCAGTACCTTTCTATTGTTAGAACAGACAGTTTGAACCTGATTTAAGCACCACAAGTTTATAGTCCACATAAATGAACAGTGACATGCCAGTACCTTTTCTATTGTTAGAACTGATGGTTTGAACCCTTCAGCTGCAGTAACTCCAACCCTACATGAGTAGGGGACTGGGTCTACTAACACAGAGTGGATAAAAGTATCACTTCTTTGACTGTGAACCTAAGAACACAAAATTAGAGCATAAAAAAAATACATTTACACATACACACATATAAACCATTGAACAGGAAACAACACCATATTGCTGACATTCTGAGATACAATATGATATTTTATTTTATACATACTGAGAATCAAACTGTGATGTACTGTTGTCCATGTCTTTCATACCAATCTCTGAATTGAAATATGAAAAAATCTCAGTATGTATAAAATAAAAACATCTTACCATGGAAAGTGAGTACAAATGATTGTTATTCACTTGTTGCAATGCACAAAAAAACTCACTTGTTCTGACTGCACTCACTTGTTCATTTTTGTGATGCACAGTAACTCATGAATAAAATTTGTTCAAGCACACTCCTCATGGAATGCCTACACAGGTCACTCCATATCTATGTGATCTGAAGTCTAATGAAAAATAATTATTACTGACACTTAAAGTCCAAGTTGCACCTGGTGAGTTTGATTTTATTCACAATAACGATTACAAAATACCTTGTTCTGCTCACCTCACTTTCACTGTCATGACATCCTGAGCATAAGAAATGGTACATTCCAGCTTTGCCAAAGAGGCGTGTGTGGCACCTAAAACCACAAAACAATATAAATTTGCCATTAAAAATCACATTAGAAGTGTAGATAACCAGAAACAGAAATCTCAACATCATCATGTTAGTTTGTCATCACTAACATTGGATTCAGTGGTACAAAATGAATAAAACAAAACATTTGCGGAATATTTTATGTGGTACACCATTACCTTAGCATGACCAGTACAAACATAATGATTACTCAGTAGTTATTATTGCCTATCTTTTTTTTTCAACTTGTTTTGTTTTTGTTTTTGCTCTTCAACCAGCTATATGTATGTACCTTTTAAAATGGACTCTGTGTGATGGTTGCAACATTCCTTGAACTTCACCTTGCTGGGATATTTCCTGCAAATTGCAGCATGTCCCATCTGACCACACCCAAGTAACACAGGCATTTACTGATACCACCAATAGATCTGGTTGAATTCCCTCAGCTGTTATATCAGCTATGTGTAACTGAGATGGTAGATTTGATGGCCAAAAAAATGAGTGTGGAAATTACTACTCTATAATTATCATGCCAAAGAAACACTTTAATGAATATAACTAAGAACAAGGACTGTTACCTTAGATGACGGGGTCACAACAACAGCTCCAAGCATTTCAGGAATGCCATTGCTTAATGTAAAGAAAACAAGCAGATAAACAAATTTTAGGATGAGCAGTCATGAAATTATCAGAAGTGGTTGAATGTCAAAATCTATCAGAAAGATAGGCGCATAAATAAAGAAGCAATTCTTGCAGTTAAGAACACTACCTACACGGTAGTGAAAATAAGGCCTGGAAAAAATTCAGGGCTGTACAGGATCTGAACCCATGACCTCTGCCATACCACTGCAGCACTCTACCAACTGAGCTAACAAGCCAACTGGGAGCTGGTCACTGTATGTTGGTTGTAAATAAACCCATGAAGTGGTGAATAAATGACTGTAAATATATGAAAATCATGTATGTGAAATGTGGAGCTTATTACAAACTTATTTGGAACCAAAGTAATGACCAGCTCCCAGTTGGCTTGTTAGCTCAGTTGGTAGAGGGCTGCACTGGCATCACAGAGGATATGTATTCAAAACCCGTACAGGCCTGAATTTTTTACAGGCCAAATATTTTCACTAATATTTAGGTAAAGTTCATAACTGCAAGGATTGCTTCCACATTTGTTTCTTCAACCACAGCTCACATAATGTTATATGATTTTAATGTATTTACAGTCAGATGGGCATATGTCCTATGAAATGTTAGCACAAGGAATGGTCACTGTGGTAACCTGTGAACAAAATACAGTAATCTTTCATTGCATCAGTGTGCAATGTACCATAATTTCTGGCCAATTAACCCCATTACATGTACAAGCAATACAATAAAGACTTGATAATTCAAAGAAATGTCTATTTACAAAATCAATACAAAAACAAATTGTTTGTACCACAAGTGAGATAATGCAACATACATGGTGTACCTTGCAAAATAAAATATACCAAGGTCTTGAAATACATTTGTAAAGGCACTTGCTGCTTTGGTTGCCTTTCCACTGTCAAATCCACTGGCCTGTGATATCCATTGGTGCGAGACCTAACATGAAAACAACAAAACCTTCCCAGTGTTACAATAATATACGTTCATACTTACACTGTTGGTAAGCATTTATTTTCAAAACCTTACAGCTGTGGAAAACTTCTTTTAATTGATCCCAGCTAACAAGGATGTTCCTCTGGATTTAGTGTAAAATGTTACAGTCAAAACCAAGAAATGTTTGTCTGTGATACAAAGCATTATTAGCCTCATTAGCAAGCTGCAGGCAACTTCCAAATTGTGCACAGTACAAGCTTTAGTTTTGTGGCAAGTTCTAACAGATAAAGAACAAGAACCGAACAAGGAGTTAAGAGGAGTGAAGGAGTGATGCCAGTGCAGCCCTCTAGCAACTGAGCTAACAAGCCAACTGGGAGCTGGTCATTACTTTGGTTCCAAACAAGTTTGTAATAAGCTCCACATTTCACATACATGATTTTCATATATTTACAGTAACAATAACAGAACAAGGAATGTTCTCATGATCTAACCTGAAACTAATCACTGATTTAAAAAAAATGATACCTGTTTAATGTTATGGGGTCTTTTAGTATCACTCCACTGCCACCATACCCAGTCTCCAGGATGTACATTTAAGATCTTTGGTGTAAAGCGTCCATCACAAACTTTGACTGAATAATGCTAAACAACAGGAGATGAAACAGAATTGTTTGTTTCAAGGCTGATTAGGTAAAAATGGCATTTATTTATTCCGTACAATTCATCAGTACTGAATAATTTTGACCATCTGTTCAAACCAGCAAGTCTTCAAAACCTCCTGATGGATGGTCAAAGGTCTTTACAAATCTAAAATGTACAAAGTAAGCCATATTCTTTTCCAATAAATGGCCTTCATTTTCTTTGTCCTTATATTAAGGTCACAATAGACGCATGACAAAAATATGAAATAAATATAATGAGTAAGGAATGTTAGATAAAAAAAAAGAAAAGTAAATAAAAATGCTTATACAATGATATCACAAATTGAACACTGTATCAAGTAAAATTTTGAACGTTTAGTTAAGATTAATATATTTTAAATTGAAGGCTACCCCAGATTGGAAATAAAAATTGAGAGAAAAATAGCTGTGTTCTCTTCTAAGTTGACACTTGTCTCTTTCTTTGTTAATATTTTCAGCTTATCAAGACCATTTCTGTTTATATATTTACCTTTGAAGTTGTCTGCACCACCACTGAACAGCAAGTAGATGGAAAAGATTGGTCATCCTTAGGGACCAGGTGGAAACTAAATTCTCCTATGGAATCAAACTTGTGAGTCATCAGTCCCAACAGTTGCACAAAATCCACCGGGTCACTCAGTTCCTTACAATCACATCCTAAAAATTAATGAAAAAAAGATTAAACAGAAGAGATTCAGGGCACAGTTTAAAGCAAGCAACATGAATTGTAGAGAAAATTCTTATCTTTTCAAGTAAGTCTCATTAAACAATAATATTCCAAAACATTGCAATATCGCAGAGTACAGAATGTGAAATATTTAATCTTGGAATCGCTTCTGAATAAATAACTGTCATTCAGCCATGCATGATTAACTGAATGACAAAAAACACAGGAAGTAGCCTACCTAAGCAAAGAGATTTCCTTCTGGTTAAAGGGGTACAGCAGTTCAACTAAGTTTAGAAAAAAAAAATCAGTCAGAGTAACGACTTGAAGCTAATTCATATATTGGAACTCATGTCAAATGAATGTATCAAATGAAAGACTACCGGACTAAGATCTGTTTGGCATATTTCCTTCCCTGACAAGCCGATCTTAATTACAGTACATGCACAAATAATTATCACTAGGAAACCAATAAATCACTGCCCAACAAAGAAAAAGGCCTTCTCGTAAATATTAATTATTAGTAAAATAAAATGAATAACTATGAATGAGGAACCACAAATTTACATCTGTCATTTAGAGTCACTACTAAATGCTGCTCTTACAACCTCACCAGTCACTAATAATTTTTTTCTTTGTTACACATACCTCTTTCAAAATGAATGATAAACCCTGACTATTATTCCAAATCCACCAGATCCTATCCTTCTCATTAATTGTCAGAAGAGCTGTTGAAACAATCATTTGAAATAATTGTTTACTCTGTCTCTTTGTGGATGTCAAAAGTGATTCACCTAACAGTAAAACTGTTATACAATATAATATTATAAACTTTTATTTAGTTATGTCAATTTTATTTTGAATCAAATACATGCAACACTTCCCTAATTGATCACTTTCCTTTAATTTTTTTGGCATAAACTACACAAGTGGGTATTGATTTTTTGTAGGCTGATTTAGCAGCTCAGGGGTGATTAGCTAGTGGGTGCTAATCACCTGATGCATAAAGAATAAACTGAAGAATAACAAAATTGGTCTCCTGTTTAATGAAGGGAGGGGGGAGGAGAGAGTTGAGGGTATGTTACTTACTGAAGAGATTCTGAAATGCCTGGTCCTAAAATTGGTATTAATAATTACAATGATGTATTATAAGTTTTATTTATAGATCAGGCTACATGTAAACAACATGTAATTGAAAGCTGTTTACCTGGTCTAAACTGTCCATCAACAATGTTAACAACATGTTCTCTTGGTTTTGGTTGCACAACAACACATCCTCGAAACTGTGAGAGATCAGCCATGTTATACATGTAGTGATAAAGACCAGGCTCAACAAATTGATAGGAAACAAGTTCAGCAATTCTACAATAAAATATTATAACAAGGCATTAAAATCATTGATGGAATATGTTTAAACATGTATAAATACTGAATAAAATTTCAGTGTACAGTGGGGTTCAAATAGAGATTTAAAAATGCATGGGTAAAGATCAAAATGAATAAATTACTGCTAATAATTACACAAATAAGCCTATTGGCCCCAATCTATCCCTGGCCAGTTTATACTCATGTCATGGAGTGACTATATGGGTGCTCAATTGCTCCCTCTGAATTGGAATGTTTACAGTGTCCCCCATTACTTCTGAGGTAGCAAAATTCAGTTCACTAGTACACATATCAAAATGATTCTTGGTGAAAAGATATACTGTAAGAGTTAATAATCTTATTATATAGTAGAATTGAATGGCCAGGGCTGAGAATCAAGTACCAGCTGATCCAAAATCGGTGCACTGGTATTGACCAAGAGGCCACTTTAAATTGAATGTGTACTACACAACTATAACAAACTAACAGCTTTTAATCACAGTTATCCTACACAAGTGCTACAAAGACTGAAGGTGTACCTGGCTGAGCCAGCAAACAATTGTGCTGAAACCAATGGATTTGCCATGGTATCTTTATAAATACACACATCCAAAATCTTTCTAGCATGGGTCTAAAATTGAAAATAACAGTGAAGCAAAGAGATCTCTGTCTCTAATTGCATAAGACATTCAGATTCAAAAAGTAGAAAAGCAAACTTTCAAGTTAATGTCATGTGAGCTTCAATGAAGTCTCAGGAACAGACAGCTGTTACAGTAATTCATTAGATAAATCAAGTTACATAGCAAAAAAATTCCCATAAAGGCGTTTTTTATGTGTAACTCATGAAGTCTACTTAAAACAAATTTAATGTTTATTCTCACCCTGTTAGTTGGACAGTCAAGCCAAATTCTATCTTGAACTCTGGCTGATATCATGCTTGTATTAAGACCCTCATCAGATAGATGAACTGAGAACTCCCTGAAAAACAACAGCAGTAAATTATACACCAATTAAACTCCTTTCTTTAATGGCATTAAATTGAGTTTGCTTTTGACCCTAACCCTAAGCAGTGTGTAAAAATTTGGGCTCCAGTAATTCATTTCACAATTATGTGTTAACTTTTCAAGACTTTCAACAGTCTAGAAACAAGGTTGAAATTAATATAACGTTATAAAGGGTAATTTAAACTTTCAACATAGAGGTTGGTCTGCGTAATCTACAATTTCATAAAAAGCAGTGAAGTCTACACACATGTAAGTGTCATAGATACTGACATGGTCTTAAACCTGGCATCTCTCTAAGGCTCAGCAACTGTGTAAGTGTAAAATGAACTTTTGGCTGCTATACAGACAATAAATAAATGGAGACCAAGTGCTGCTAATCAGTTGTTCCACTAGCCATAATTAGATGATTAAACATTCCATCAATTAAAAATACCTTCTCTTTCTTTGCTAAATAAAAGAACATACTTATGATATCAGTAAATATTTACAAACCTGTTCACTTGAGTAACTCTCACAGCACAAATCAAGTTTCCTTGGTCATTAAGCCAGTCTGTGCCTGTATCATGTTTGTCAAGGTAGAAGTAGAACAGCCCTGTGTCCTGAAATGTCATTTCATGTGTTGAATAAACAGTGATCCTGAATAGGAGAAAAAAATTTAAGTTGACCATAATTCACTCCTAGAGGCCACAATGTTTGATAACCAGTATCATTGTACAGTTATAGAATAGGGAACATGCCCAACTTGATTTTCCAAAGTCATTTGTTTTAATTTCCCTCTAAGTAGATTAATTAGGACTTCATTAACTTAGGAAACTAAGATTAGTTACAAGTACCTTGATTTTTTTGGAACAAGCCTTGCATGTTTAAAACAAAACCTGAAAAAAGTCAAATTATACCATGAGGACAAGGCAGTCAGTCGCACGTAATAATCATAACCAGCATATTAATAACCAGTTTTTATATTAGCGAACATATCAAAAGAACTCTCATATTATTACATTTGCTTCTTCAAAGTATAGTCCAATTTAGTCATTAGTGTACCTCGCAATCTGGTGAACAAAGTAAGTACCTGATTCTTAACCAAAAGGTATCATGTGACATACACAAGAGATTCCACCAATTCCTGACTTGTACCTTTAACTTCCCCCTTATATGGTATATGGTAAAGTCTGCACTAGAGACATGTGGCCTTGGCAGCCAGATCTTATCACAGTTTCTTTAGTGTGAAACCGTCTAGGAGTATTAACCCAACAACCTCCCAGGTGGGATGCCAATCCATTACAAGGTTCCCTTCAGCATTTCATCACGCTTCTCTGACAATTTGCCAGTATCCATTTATACTCCTAACTGGGGAGAGACACTTTGAGAGTGTTTAGCTCCCAAAAACACAACTCAATATCCTGCTGAGTCTCACAGCTGGACCTCTAAATCCCAGAATCCAGCACAGTTACCATAATACACCACCATGTCTCCCATTTCAAGTGATATGGACAACTGCATTTACATGAGTGAGCAGTCAAATGTGAAAGTCTTGCTTTTGTTATTGAGCTCATAGTCACACACATAATGGAAATTATTAATAACAATTTCACTTCTTTATGCACTTACTCCATCTCTTGAATGGAACAAGATAAAGCTTTAGAATCTCCATATTCACAGCTCCACTGAACAGTCTCTCCTTCTTCAATGTTCACCAACATCTTCTCAAATCCTTCATCTGTGATCTACAGGAAATTGGTTATTATATTAGAAAACAAATTTTTTCAACATTTTTCAACATTAATTCCACTCTTATCCATCTATTATTGTTATTTTTAAGTCTCTCCCCTTTTAAAAATTGATGTTTTTAAATGTCACGCTTATACTTGTTTAGCTGCAATGTTTCACTTCCTGTATGAATTTATACGTATACATGGTACCACATTGGAATCAGAGGTTTGTTAAATATGATCAATCATTCTGAGCACCTTGATGATGTTCATTGGTTTCTCCACTACTTGTACCTTGAAAGGCAATATCACAAAGCTGTGCTCTTTAGACTCACTGAAATTGGAAGGGAAGAAAAAAGCTCAATACTGAATGAACATTTTTAATTTTAGATCAGCCATGATTTGCCAAAGAAAATTACCTTCATATTAAGAAATAGTGGAATTTTTTGGCTTTTAACCAAATTTTGTTGTGCATTAATCCTATATGATGCTGTGTCTTGATATCATTCACAGTAAAAATGAAAAGAATAAGAAAACAAGGCTTAACAGATAAGTTTCATTTTATATCCATGTACCTGATAACTGATTGACCCATTTCTTCTGAATTATTGCTGTCCAGCAAGTATATTTTTATAACACAAACCTAATAAAGGTGAATTGTCCTTTCCTTCCAAAGTACACCTTGAAAGATCTATCAGATGTCAGATCACCACTGTTGTATCCACCAGGAACACGATTCAGTTCCATACCACAAACCTTCAAGTTACAAAATCCAAATCATAGTTATCCAGCCATTTTCATAACAAAAAGTGCAACAAACAATAGTACTGCCTGCACCAAATACCTCTTGTAAAGACAATTTGTCATAGCCTGCATTGCAAAGTAGCTAACATATGTTTCTCTAAGGTCCTAGTAACTTTACCAGCCAGAAATAATATTTTCTCAGATTATCTTATTCTAAAAGTCAATTCAGTTTTTAATTCCCACAAATGTTATTGTTTGAAATTCAAAATTTGAGTGAAATATCTCAGGACTACAAAAATCAGCTGTATTATTGATAATGATGAGGTTACCTGAAATATTCTGAAACCTTTAGATGAGCTGTCTACATTCCATTCAAACGAAATGCTCTGGAAATATACACAAAGAGTAATCACCATGGTTATAAAATAAAAGGGACACAAAATAAAAAAAGAGTGAAGCCGCCTGGTTTAAGTGGGTATAGATCTTGTAATACTTAGTTGTACTATGAATTGAAATCTAACCATTCAAATTCTTCACATCTTCCAAAAGAATTCGAATTAAAACATCAAACTCAAAACAATAGTAAGGCAAAGGTTAACATAATTATTCAAAAGGCCAAGACGTAAACAAACTACGGCCAATATCTATTACACATAATTAGCGCACAGCTAAACAATCTCTAATTTAATTAATTCTTTAAATTTACAATCATTTGCGCTGAATTTTTCACCACCACCGACCGAAGCAGCATAAATTTTTCTGGTCAGTATTACCTTTATTCACTCCTTTTGCAAATAAATGTAAATGAGAGTAATGAACGAGAGATGAAAAAAAATATTCAGCTGTTCACACTTCACTCACCTGTCCTTGATACAGGACAAGTTCCACTGGATGAAACCCCTCGTCCGACACACGAACTGGAACAACAGCACCTTCTGTATAAGTAAAATCGAAATAGTATCACTATAAGCGTACGAGTACAACAAGTTTTGCAAGACCAAGAGGCAAACAAAACATCAGCATCTGAAGAAAGTTTCCCTTCGGTTCATTTTTTCAGATGGTTCTAATTTTCACGCTCCAGGACGCAGCTAAATTATCCTGATTATCGGATAAACTTCATTGTACCTATAAAGGAAGCATTTTTTCCATCCATTGTTGAAGTAATAGAGTTCTTTGAAGGCTTGGGGAAAACAACTCCCATCCTGAAAGAAAGATTACGGCGCCATAACAGCTAATTTCTCCCTCTGACTCTGACGGCTCTCACATCTGCTGGCCATTTCAAGTACAACTTAGCAAACCAATGCACCATACCGATTCAATGATTCGTCAACTTAAGTATAACATTAGGCGAGAGCAAAGTCTCCAAGGATGCCTCTACGCTACCATAATTCATTTGCTGTTTTGTTGGATGGATCGATTCGCTGAAATTACGGTTAATGGGTAAGACAACGTTGACAAAAGCGAGATTTACATATTTCGTTTCCAGGCTGAATGCTAAACTACCTGACGGGGGAGGGGTTTGGAGGCAACGTTTCTTCCGGGGTAGAATCAAGTCGAATTGCCTGCGATTGGCTTGTGGTTAATTTTTATGTTATATTGACAATGTATTTATATTATAGACGGGTCAAACTAGGTTGTTTAAATTCTCTTGAAAAGTTCTCATATACTGAAGGAAAAATAAGGAATGAGATAAACCAACTCACATGACATATTTTAGGGCAGTGGATTTAATGTTTGTTTGCTTTCCTTAGAACATACACATTTACAATAGAAGGGCCACTGTTAAACCAAACTGCTGTGAAAATTACACAGTGTGTTTGACTATAGTAATGAAAAATTAACTTGGAAATTTATCACCTACTTACAACTGAAAATATTTCAACAGGTTTTACAAACAGACTTTTAACAGTAGTCGCAAACAAAAATAAATAGACCATTATGGCATATTTCTTGCTGTTAAGAGTTTTCCGAGTAAGCTTGAGCAACTATTTCAAAACAATTTAATATCATATTTATGCCTTGTTCACAGATATTTAAGTGACAAGCTTGGCGATCACTATGTTTAATTCAAAATGCTGACACTAAACTGACAAGACAGGCGAGTAAGAGCTCAAAATTTGCTGTATGCAACTAGTATTTATCAATTCTTGTCTGAAGAAGTATTTTAATCGTCAGATGTCTCTCGCAACAACAAGAAAGAAGTGAAAGGATAGTAACGCTATTAGTGTGGTACTAACTCTCGTGTCCGTTTAATAAGATAACCTGGTGATAGACGACTTTCCGTGCTCTTTGGGAAGTGATTACGTAAAAATGATATACTGATATGTATATATTTTTTAATTCATCACTTTGAGATGCCGCCAATTTGTAATTTGAAATTCAATTGAAGTCTCAAGTTATTCATGATACGAGTCTCAATTTCAAAACAACCCTTCTCTGGCTGTAGGTTCCTTATAGTTTATTTAGAATAATTAATACAGAGAATATCTCACGAAATATTTCAAACTTTCTTTTTATTATCATAGTTTTATTATCATAGTTGACGCTGAATCCATTGAAAAGTATTTGAGTCAACCGAATAAACATATCATTTAATGCAATGTCGTGCGGTGTAGTGACTATCAAGGGCCAGTATTGTGTCCGTGATCGATCAGTCTCCCTATTCGGTTTATTTTCTCGCCTACGCATCTTCATTTAACAAATAAGAAAATGCAAATACTGCTGGGTCCACTAAGAAATTAATAATGCCTCAGAGGCTGATATCCGTGTTTGAGATATGAGTCACGGTATATATTCGAGGCAAAATACTGGGCCGACGAGAAATATTCTATCCACGTACGTAGTGATAATTCAGAGGAACCATAAGGAAATGGCACTGCAAAGAAATGGAAATAAATATGAACTTTTTAAGCATTGAAAGGTTTTGCAAGGTAAATATGTTCGCGTGTTTTGTTTTTCCTTTTCTTTTCTGTCACAAAATATTGGTAAAAAGCTTATGGTAATTCAGTGTCGATGTTGATTCGCTTTCTTCTTCCTTTTTTTTTTTTTTCAAAGGTTGCCAAAGTGAAGGCCCTCCATGATGTGGAGATATCAAGCGACTGACGGATCACTCGCTCACCTTTCATTTGTTCAACCAGAAAAAGTAAATCTAAAAGGTGAGAAACTAAACCCAAACCTTGTCTATGTTCATCTTGGTTGATTATATTTTCTTTGAAATACAACGTGACAGCTGCCTATCATATCTCAAATTTCCTAAAAGAAATATCGGTATTCAGTTATTTTCTTGGGGAAAGAAATTTTACATGAAAAGTGAGAGGTTATTGGACTAAGAAAAACTTAGAATATCGTATCTATAAAATCAAAAGAAAAAGAAAAAGAATCGATAAAAAAGATTATCGATTAAATTCCCAAGAAAATTCCGGTTTTCAATTATTCGTGCTTCAATGTCCTTTCTGCTACTGTTCAGCGCTTATAAATTTCCATACGGACGGTTTTTAAATCTTAAAATGTTACCCACGCATGTGGTCAAACTGACCTTTACTTTACCGTGGAACGGTACAAGTTTGGAAATGAAGCAAACTAACAGTAGCACTGCGAGAACACAACACTTTCTCGCCTGACATGGAACAGTAAGCTACGAGGTATTTTTCTTAAAAGACTCGATGCTCAACTCCGGGTAATTAAAATTTGTCTACACACAAGCACTTAGAGAAGCAAGTAATTCCAAACCTTTACGCAGTGGAGAGCAGGTTGGAACCAAAATAGAAAAAAACAAAGTTTTTTTTTATTAAATCATTTTTGCTCACTCTTGTTTTATCCTATATATGATGAAATATTATCCACTCCAAGCCAGAGTAGGGAATTTCTTGACGTACACCAGTTTTCAAAATGTTCCATCAAGTCCTAGTTATCACAGGGAACTAAAGTTTACCATTCAGGTAGTCTGTAATCTCTTCTGCCATAGATAATTTTCCTTGGCATTGTTTTTGTTTGCTGATCGGAAATGATTCTTTTTTTCTTGGTGAACACGTGGTTTATTGTTCATTCAACAATATCACCCTATGCACATAATCCCTGAGCCGTTTCTGAGGTTTTTCGGCGCTCTGACTAATTCTGTTTAGGGCTGTATACAAGATAAATTGGTCCAAGAGGCACACTTACAGAGTATTCGACATCAGTGGCTGTATTGAAGCTGAAGCATGTTGTATTCCATATCTGTGGACTAATACAGCTCTGAAGAATTTTGATTCTATACTTTAAAGTGTAAGACTGAAGTAAACTGGACAGCTAACTAAATTCCATTTTTTAAGAAATGGTTCATGAAGTTCTGAAAATAAAATTAAACCAATGTGAATCAAAATGCTGAAACAATACTTTTGTCTACTACACCTAATACAGAAATTGAATCGTCCTAAGTAGACCATAAGCGTCAAAACAGACGAAATATTTTACATTGAGCAGTTCAACAAGATTTCAACAACTGACTACTTACTACAACAGCAATTTTCTGAATCTTCTTACTGTATTTACAATGGTTAAAATTACCTCTGTTTAAAACATCCTTCAAGCTAAGAATACAATCAGAAAAACCATATTTACATCGGTACACAAAGTTTTGGGTTAAACATGGCTTAACTTACTTTACCGACATTTTAAGGTAAGTTCGTTTAAATACGTGAGCCACCAAGTCATTCAGTTGTCAGGTTCTTTTTACAGTTTTTTAAGCACATTACTTGGGATAACACGAGGACAAAATAGTTCTAACAGAGGCAAATGGGAAACTATCGTTCGCTAGATCCACCCAGCCATTCCTCTTTGTTGTTTTCGACTCGTGCCACATGTTCATTGTTCTTCTTCACGCATGCGTTCAGGAAAGGGAAACAAACTGCGCATACTCAGGAGAATTCTTCGGGGGATATTGCTCTTTTTGAAAGAAGTTGGAAAAAGTTTGAAAACTTTTTTCACAAAATTACACTCTTAAGCATGATTCAATTTGGATCAGTTGAACCAATCCGAATTCTTCGGAAACGCTGTTACGTTCCCCTGAAGAAACGCTGTCTTTGTTTGGGAACACGCGTTTAGTAACATTAGTCACTCGGTTAAAAGGGATTACAGATGTTTACATCTCTATCTAAAAATGGTCACTAGCAACAAGGCACCATTCAAGGAGGAGCAGTTCAATTGAAGTTTGATTTTCTTAGCACTTTACGTTACCCGTTACCATGCTTTCATGAATTTCCCTCACTTTGAAAAATTAGCATCTTCTTTTCTAGGCAAGAAATTGAAAAAATTTTAAGAGAAAGGTAATTGCAAACCAATTGTTTCATTATTTTCACCGTTCTCTTTTGAAAGCATCATGAAAACGATTTAACGACAACCACAAATTTATCCAGTTATGAATTTTCTCTGTTCGTATTGCATTAGCGAGTTGCAGCTTATTTTACACTTAACTCAGCACATGTTTGAGAATAATCGCCGGAGAACTGGCAAAGTCCCTTTGGTTGAAACAAGGCCTAAGAAGGCGAATAAATGGTGAAATATTGTTGTCTACTCCCATACCGAATGAACAACATGCTAAGCGTATAAATAATTAAAGAAATCTTGTGGATCACCAATAAAAATTCATTTGCGGAAACTGAAACCTGCCAGTTTACCCCGCAACTCACCGCACAGAATATATAACCCGTTCACATGTCTTCGAAAAAAATCATCGTTTGGCCAAATTCAGTTTTGGAGAAATTTTTCAAAGTTGAATTATCCAAAATTATGTCGATAAGTAACAATAGCCCCTTCCGGTCAGGTGTTTTCTAATTTTAACGCTTAGCTAAAGAAACTTGTGTTACTTAGTGTATTCGTCATCCTGGGGAATAGATTTTGAATATTAAGCAGAAAACCTGTCACGTACTCTCCCACTACGCTTGCGCACATTGAATATTGGGCAATTCTTTCTGTGTGACCGGCAGGTCAGAAGGTGTTTCATAAGTAAATCGGCTGAACTGCATAAGAAACTCCTCTCAAATAGCTCTTTAATTTCCGCAGCTCAAATGATGTTTCTGCCTATCATAGCAAATTGGAAATGTTATCTTGGATGGAAATGTTTATATGCTCGTCTGGTAAGTTTCTTTTTCATTCTATACTTTTTGGTTGATTCTGCTGAATATGCAGCCTACGATATGCGATTTTTTTCGTTTTTGAGCGGATGTCGTTTCCATTTCTAACCATGTCGTGGTTCTTTCTTTGTTTTACATCATTATCCAAATTCATCAGTTCCTACTTCTTTCCGTTTAAGTCTGCTGGGCTTCATCAAGGATCTACGCGAAAGCAAACTGAATGGTTCATAGACTATCTCGCGAAAAACTCTGCAATCTTAAAAAAGATTCGGCGCGGTCTCTCTCAGTACCATCGGCACCGAAACAGAATTAAGTTTTTCTCAGTTATATTTGTATTCGGTTACAGAACTAGGACGTAAGAAGTTATTCGAATGAACTTTAAGCAAAAATGGAGAAATAACCAGTCATTCACGACGACTGATTTTCTCGACTTAATCCGAAAAAGCAGAACATAATAGTGATAATAAATAAAACCAATGCTTTCTGTATCGCATTAATTTCGTCGAGAAATTTTTTTTTTCGTGGGGGAGGGGACGACAGTACGTTATAGTATCCTCAGGGGCTGGTAGTTGTAGCTTAATGTCGCTCTCAGTTCACTATTCCCTCGGTTTCTTGTCTTTGCAAATTAATTAAAAGGAAACAGATGCAGTTTTCTCCATTGGTGCTTTTCCGCCATTGGTTGAAAATTTGACAGCATATCATTATGCTGTCAGTAGCGAAGACCACTTTTGTTTTGAAGGCAAGCATAATCTACGTGATGGTAGAGTTGACGTCTGTGTGCCAAACTAAAATAACTACCAATCAAAGAGCGAGAATTCGGTAACTAATTACAATTATTTATCAAATCTTTCTATCGCAATATTGTTTTGAAGGAGGCCCCGTAAAGTGCTGAATGCACCTGCTCCCAATCGACTAGAGAATATAAATTTTAGGGACCAAAAAATTCCCCTTCTCCTTCAAATTTAAGTTCGTAAAAACAGAAACAAAATAATCTTCGCTGGGGATTTACCGCTTGAAACGGAAGAAACGGCCTTTGAATGAAAAATATCAGGCTTTGACCACTAACGAATGATATATTTCTTTGTTGAAGTTTGGAAATTTTATTCTGTTTTGTCGGTGAGTTTATTTACTATTCGCACCACCGAGAAGCTATGTTCCTATGAACTCCAACGAAGGCAACATCATGATAACATGGCCTAAGATGTCCGAATAAAATACTGAAGTCATGTAAATGTCTCTTGGTCAAAAACGTGAACAATAAAATAGCGATTGGGGTATATTATCGATTGAGCTTAGTGAATATCTTTTTTATTTATTTCACAAACACTTTCTGCCTTGCAAAGTTCGGTGTGTATGAGACAGAATGGACAAATTTGTTTCATGCCATGTTCCTATTTACGTATCAGTCCCTTTTAGTTACAGTATGTTATGCTCTGCTGACCGCTTCTAGCACAAATTCTACGCAAGTATAAAACGAATTCAATATTCTTAAGCAGCCACTAAGACACAACTAAAGGAGAACCTACCATGAAAAATAAAACACACATTCTCGGTCACCGAAGAGCACATTGAACAAAACTTCGATCACCCCAGCGAAGTAAGTTTAGTAAAGTTTACCTTAGTGTATGAGTAAAATTCTGTCGACTTTCAACTATAACTTTCTGTTAAATATTGCTTTTAATGGAGACTCGAGGGATCTGGCGCCTGTATGTTATTTGAAAGATTTTTCTTGTCGATTTTTCAGCATTTTTAGTACGCATGGTCGATCGAGTTGTCATACAAAACGTTGAGCTTGCAACTTTAGGAGTGTTTCTCTTAACACAGTTTTGAAACTTCAGAGAACTGCAGCTCAGCACAAGAAAAGCACCCTAGTTTTTCATTTCGCAATTTTGAACGTACATGTTGTATGTAAATTCAGGTATCGTTTGGGAAATAAATACTCCAGTGAGTTTGTGATTCAATGCTTTTTCAGAGAAGTTTTGGAATAATTGTAGCATTACTGGGCAAACATGTTGAGATCATTTAAGCTAAATTTTGAGCTCCATGTTTTACATTGATAATATTTTTTCCTTGGGATGATAATATTTACTTCTGCACAATGCAGAATGGAAATGACAATCTAAATTTCTACAAAGTTTGGATTTGCTATTTGGCTTTTTTTATAGCTGGCTCACAGTTCTTCGTTGTTATAACTGAAAAGCTCAGAGAAGACTTCAATAAACTTCATACCTGAATGTCTATTTATCAGTCCAAATTTGAGAGGAAAAGCTTGCAAAATTGTAGTGTATCCTGAGATGAGACTCTAAGTCTTAAGCCTTGGCTTTTGCACTGTTGACACAACTTAGCACAACACCTACATGTGTAGAAACCTATCCAAAGAAACAAATGGTTAGACTGCCGAGATATTCACCCTCAGCTCGTGAGGCATAAAGGTTACATCAACATATTTATGGCTGTTAATGAATCTGCAACTGAAAGTAGAACGATTGTGGGTGAAAGGACACTAGAAGTGATGTAATCTTCAAGAGCTGGGCGCCATTATCTTCTTTTGCGGATGATCATTAAGATCGGAAAAACATAGTTTTCTTCGCATGTTCATAATATTTTTGCCAGCTCTTGTAGGGTTTTGAATCTTATTTTGCTTGTACGATGTGTTGTTGATCTAGGAAGCCCCTACCTATGCGGGGAAATCGGAAGCCATAGGAAGCAATTCCTGTTACTTGATGTAAATACACAGTTGTCTTCCGCAGCAAACTATTTTGCGTAAGCGAGCTCTGCAAAAGCAACCCTGTGTTTACGCACAGCAAAACAGAGAGTCGTTTTCAAACACAAAAAAAGTAAGGCTGAAAGCTCTCTTCCAGTCATTTAATTAAAAAAAAAACTTAGAAATAAATACAACAACGAAATACCTCGGCTACTGTACTTCCTTCCACTGGTAAGGTTCAAAGAGAATGAAGCAGTCGACGCCATCATAATAAGATGCTAAAAGCTTTGCCCAGTTTTAGTGCGTGATCTACCAAGGAGGGAGAATGACTCCACAGTGAAAAAAAAAACAACATTGAACAAAGGTAGTAGTTAAATTACGTTCACAGGATAGTCGCCATTTTGAGTTAGAAAGAAATGGAAGAGGATTTTTTATAACACGTTTAGCACAAGATCATCTGACACTATAAAGGCACATGACTATGGAAATATCTGCGTAGGAAATAATCCATCACATATCAGCACGTTTGCCGAGCTTGGATTTTCTTCCTCCGATTAGATATTTAAAAATGTTGAAATTTGAATCGAGCTTTCCTTTATGAGATGAAGTCTAGTTCTGCAGGTAACATCCTCATTTTGAGGAGAAATAAAACTATGCTGGGTACTAGCTATGATATCAGTTAGCCATAGCCGAGCGCCGGATGGGTCATAAACCAAAGGCAAAAACGTTTTCACGTTAAAAGCCTTGGCACTACTTGTCCACTGGCCATGAAAAAGCTTTAATGTTAAATGGAATTTTACCTACATTCATAACTGAACCTGTACAAGACACTTGCACGGGAAAGCTATAGAGATCAAGAAAGCATAGTTGCATAATCCTTAGTGCTTTATTGCAAACATTGAATTAGTCTAAGACATAAACACTACTGCTTCGAAGAACTTTCGCTGTTTATGTTGCCCTTTGTATATGTATTTACAAGCCCATAGTAATGCTGACTCCTACGCAAATGAAATATCTCAAGTGTTCATTTGGTCTTCCGGGTTAAGAATTGTCCTTGGCTGATTATAGTGTTCTTCACCATCAAGTTCGCGTTCCAAGATCATATCTCGACTTCTGCATTCATGCACTCGAACTCAAGGCCTGAAAACCACAGCCCAAGGAATGTTGTGCACTACATGACATATTTAAATGCTATGCTACACAACAACAGTCCATGCCGGGGAAATGAATTGATTGAGAAAGTTTACCCAAAGAACTGAAAAGTCTGCAGCGAAGTCACTCTTGCACAACCACAAGAGGATGAATTAAACGAAAGCCTTAGCTTCAGTTCACTAAATACATCGATTCTGGCAGCGCATCCTTCTCACACTTTAATAACCTCAGCACCAGAAAGCGATATCTACAAAATTTAGCCACGCTCTTAGCACACTGTATTTATTTTTTGCTTTTTAAATCTAAGTAAAAAATAGAATCTTGCACAACAAACATTCCTTAAAACGAAACCGAAAAATGGAATCAAACAACAGCTTGGAATTACGGCTTGAACCGTGCAAAATTAAAATCCTTTCTCTTTCGCGATGAAGGATCGATCATTGATCGAAGTCATAGTTCGTTACGCGCCAGAGGCATTATCGAATAAAGCTCACAAAGTGCGCTGCTTATGCTACTTTTCCGTTTGATTATTGGCGATAAGAAACAGAGTAAGGCGCTTTGACCTCTGTAACGCCTATGGAAAATGTCAGGGAGGAACAAAAACATCTCTAAGGTGTTCGCAGTGTTGCTGCTGTTGGTATCTGCACTCTAACAACAAAGTAACGTTGAAGAAGCACTGATGGATACTTTTTTGTGAGTAAACTGTAAATTAGATGGTTGTTAGAGTTTCTTTGCTACTTCTGCCAGGCGATGGTTCAGGCAGAGAACAGAACGTAAGCAGCTACCTGTTCAACGATATCTCCATGTCAAATTAGTGCGCGGAATGCAAAAACCAAAGCAATGATAACAGCCCTTATGGCAATTCCAGCTTCTTCCTCTCGTCTTCTCCGTTGATGATAACTAAGTTCAACCTTATCCCCGATTTCAGCCAGCTGCTCTGCGACTTCGGAGACGATGAGGGAGTTGTTCAAGTCGCTATTAGGGGCGACTTGTGTCGGATGTTGTTCGTAAGGACCAACAGAATGTTCTTTGCACATCTTTCAAGAAGTTCTGTGAAAAACTGAGGACTACTGACCACAAAAGAAGGTATGTTAACGTTCAACAGCGGTCGGCTGATCGGCGGAGTGAACTGCACGCGGCTTCAACACGTGGAATTGACTCACCGGCAAAGCTTGCGATGCTAGGATGTCGAAAAATGTCACAAAGCCGGTATACAGCGGCGCTGAGTGTAAAATGATGCTAAGGACTTCTGGCTTCAAAACTGCTTCGAAGGAAAACGGTCTCTAGATTTGGTCAAGATGAAAAAGCGAATTTTTGCAATTTGCAAATCGAAACACCAGCAATCTCACACGTTTGTCAAAATGATGGTCACCTATGCTGTTGGTTCATCCATGCTAAATATTTTTCATTGCGTGTGTTTTGCTTACGTAATTATTCATCCGCTAGATGCTGATTGGCTGTTGGATGCTGGAAGGGGTCGATGATTGTGAGAGGCAACGAATGCGCAGAGATATCACGAACAAGATTGGACGGGAAATATTAATTGTAATGACTTTCATAAAAGGGATTTTTCAGGAATTCCCCTTTTGAAATGTGGAAGTTTAAAAAAAGGCCCCTCTTCGCTATAGGATGCCTTTGCGCGTTCAAACGAAAAAATTCCCGTGACATAGGTGCGACTTTCAAGCGATGTGCAATCGTTTCACCAGCATGCAATGAACTGAAAATGGTTTTTGAGGAGACCTTTTGCTTGTTTTAACATTTGGTTTTCAATAATAATTTCCGTTGCGGCTTTAGTATAGTAAATAAAAGTACAAAAGAGCCTTAGCTGGCTTCATAAGACTACAAAATAAAGAAGGAAAGACTTTTACGTAAAGGACGCGGTAACACACGCCATGGTTGAATTATATTGTTGTTTCACCGGACACTAGACAAGTAGGCTGCAAAAGCGCTTATAAGAGTAAAAATTGTGAGCCTCACGTCTAACACGTGCACGAATTCTCCTGTAGTATCTACCCTGCTGTGAGTCCGCCGCCGGCAAGTGCTTCATATTATATGACATGAATTATTTAAACGGCCAATAGACAAGCACGTTATTCCGAAGGTGTTCGTGCGAGGAAAGTTTTTCTCTTCCCGGATGTAGAGAGAGCTTGTGATTCCAACACAGGATCATGTATCAAAATGTAGACACGAACGGAAAGAAACATTTTTCTGTGATTCTCTAAAACGCTCGAGGCTTCTTTCAAAAGTCTTACACTATAAAATGAAAGGTAATCGACCCCTCGGGGCTCTAGCGAAATTGAACTGATTTTGATTAGAAAGGAACCACTTTCCTAACAAAATAATCAGCCAAGTATGCGGTAATCTAAAAATAATACTTCTAACATCAAAAGCTATTAAGGGAGTTAATTTGCATTTCGCCTGATGTTGCAGGAATCTTTTATTAGATCTAACTGGTGCAGGAATAAAAACTGTGTTGTGAATGAAGTTGGAAAATAGATAAATGTCACTTCTCCTTCGATTTTTTTGCAAAGTTTTTTTCTTTTAAATGTATTTGGAAACAAATGGTATACATTTTTGCTAACTCACTTGACCTATGTCCTCAATTTGTCGCCTTCAACATGGATTACACTCCAAAATCGGTTTCATGTTCGTTAGCCAATTTACCCGCTGCAGAGGATATTAAAAAAAAGTAACAATAATAAATAAAAAAAGACTCTCTGTACTCGATTTTAATGAATATTCGTATCCATTCATTAGATAAGTATTATTATCCTACGGGATGTGCTTTGTAAGAAATCAATCGGAAGAAAATGGCGTTTTGTCGGTTGTTATTATAAAATGGACAATAAGTGTTAAATATCATGGATACCGTAATTCTTCTTAATTTAAACTCTCAGGTGGCACTTAACCAATTTTTTTATAAAGCGGTTGGCATTAATTTTCTGGAGAAGTCTATGTGTAAACGATCTATTAGGAAAGTATTCGACTTTTCACAAATGTCTGATAAGCAGGCTGCACCTCAAAGACTTTCTTATTACCATGATGCTGTATTACAACTTTTGAGAGGGGCAATTAGATTTGTATTATTCTAGTTAATTGTGGAAAGAAATTAATTCCTCAGTATTTAATCGCAAATTTCTGACATCTCGCTTATCCGGTAAGCAATATTAGACTAGGATTTTGTTAATTAATCATGAGACCTTTGAAACTAATGAAGAATACAGGCTGATGTAATACGCTCTACGTGTAATTAAAAAAGAAACCAATAGCGCATTTATTTCATTTTCTCCCTGTTTGTTTTCAAATTCAACTTTTGCAGCTCATACACAATGACGCATTTCGCGCGATAAAGCCGATTACTATGAAACACAACAAACAAACTAAAACCAAAAAATATCATTACACCAGGTTCATTGCAGACACCTTGGTTTAATTGAAATATTCTGCGACTCTCGTGTAACTAATTCATTTCTATAAATTATGCAAAGCGCACGCTGTTAAGTCTTAATGTTTGTACAACGTTTGTCTCTCTTTGCCGAGCTGTTAAATATTTAGAACATTTGAGCAAAAGTGACAGGATGCTTTGATTGTAATATAATGGGGAACAAGTAAGGTATATTAAATTGTCATGAAATGTAATGATTATTGAACTGTTTACAAATCATGATTCCTTGTGCTGCCTTGTTACTTTCATTCTATATTCACTGTGTCTGTAAAAAACATTTTTTGTTTTTCTACTAGTAACCAAAACACAAGCTACTGAATGCAACGCATTAATTGTTTCGAAACGAGACCTTAAAACAGAATTGAACGAAACAGAAAAAATTTGAATATCAACGCTTGTTCAACGGTCAGTTATCACCCAAGCCAGTTTGAATATCAAGAAACATTTCAAATTGTTTTAACGTATCACAGGAAGTTTTACAATTATCATTAGATTGTATTTTGTAATCTTTCAAACATAACAGCCAGAAAAAAGTTAAAAATCTAGGATTTAGAAGGAAAATGATATGGTTACCTTTAAAAAACTATTTTTATGACTAAGGAAACGTTTCTGCTAGACTTTTTAGACCATTTGCTGATAAAATGAATTATGTTTGTTTCCATCACATGCACATCAAAGCCGATAATCATGGTTAGAGAGCAGTTTGCCAGCAAGAGGGCTTATAGTGAAAGAAAAAAAAACTGGAACAAAAGACCGGTATTGAAAAACTTTTTATTATGAGACAGCCATTTGTAAATTTGTACGAAGTTGAATCTTATATATCTCCTTATCGACTGTACTTATTCAACGCTCAACAACACTATTTTTTAGTGTGACAACAATCCATTATGTATCTTACACAAACAACTTAAAAAATAGATGACTTTAATCTCACTTGTTTCCACACTTTCTTTGTAGGTTTAACAAGAGAGGAATTCAGTTTTAACCCGAAGTCTTATTCCATTCAGGTAAGAAAAATATAAACTTAATATATATTTTAGCCATAATACCTATAAACATCTCAATAAAATCAGAAGTTCCTTTGTTCTTAAAGATCTATCGAAATCTCAAGGAGCTCTTAGTATTTTCTATTCATGTGTTCGTCCTGAGTAATGGTGGTTAGAAGGTTTAGACTTGTAGAAATTGATACTTGTACAAACCAAGAGATTATATTCGTTTATATTTTCTTGTACAAATTCGAATTATATCATGTATATTTTCTTCTATCATAAGATTCTATATTATTGATCCGTGAGGTTTACCCAGTTTGTGGCAGAGGTTTACCATGTTTCCCCTGCGGGGAGGCAAGAGGATATTAAATCCATTGACATGCTATTTCTTTTTCTTGTATTCTATAGTTCAATAATGTATTCCACTTCAATGGATCATATTCAAAGATGCCCACAACCCACAATGGCATATCACAATGGCATATCAATGGCTACCAAACTGAGAGTAGAACATAACCTTTACCTGTCCCTTTGTCCACACCACTTTTGGTTTGTTTATGTTCAAGATGAAGGGGAGTTGCTCTGGGTACAAAGCTGTAGGAAACATGAAATACCACCACAAAGACATATTTCGTTATTTCATCCCTTTATATTGTTTTATTTGAACCAGTAGCTCGAGAGACAATTTACTAAACAGGACAGGCTAGAAACGCCAATCTCGACATGACTTGAAAATCCGTAACGATACGTTATGTTACGTTACGTTTCGTTACAAAACCTCCCACGCACAGAAAATTACACGAATATTTCCCGCGCGTAGACAGCGTGGCCAGCTCGCGACATTGGCATTGGGCATGAAATAAGCTTATTTACTTTTAGAGCAAAGATGGGCAAAATATGCATTATCATCAAATATGTTATTGATTCTTATCCCTTTGTACGTGCACCTTCAGATCACGTTATAACCGAACCACCAGTCAATGGAAAGTCCAGTGATGTCAGAATTTTTTTGTAAATTACAATCCATTTTGGAGATCAAAAAATTTTAGTCCTCTTTTCATGTCAGACATGTTGTTGTCTACTGATGGTGAAGCCTCGACGTATCAAATGCATTAACTTACGGCAACATCAAGCCAAGGTCATCTGTATGGTGATGTTTATCGAGTAAATATGTTTAAAATAATTTATTTCTATCGTGTGGGGTAGGATGGCGGCTAACAGACAATCTGCCTGGAGCAAACGTTAAAAATAAAGCAAAGTCAACAACATTAAAAACATTACATGGTATCGTTAGATCAAAATAATACAATTTTTCTAATAAAACTATTTTCTGAGGAAAATTATTCATGCCTTTTTACCAAAACCAAATGCGTGCGTGTTTGAAATTTAATTAGAACCATGGTTTGTCTTGACTTTGCAGTTCTACTTATTATTACTGTACCGATGGAAGGAAAAACAGTCATTAATATTTGATTTGAAACACACTGTAATGGGCATGCGCAGTTAGACTGCATCGTCATTCCGCATCATTTAGTGTGAACGTGAGGAGAATTTTTTAACTTACATTATTTTCTCGCTTGAATTTCGCAATTTTTGTTTATTTTTTTTTTTTTTTATAAAAAACCGTTTTAAGAACTGTACGGTACTCAATCCCAATGGATAGTCCCAAATCACTTATTCATTTCATTTTAGTTTTCAGCCCTATTCAAATCCTATTTTGTTAACTTGTTCCAATAACTGCGCATAAATGAAATTTTCCACAACGCCGGATCACGAACACGGCACTATACCAGGCTAAGAAAAATATCATTGAGCCCTCCGTTGATTATTTGTATTCTTTAGGAGATTAAAATACACCACAACACAAGTTGTGAATCCTTGAAGCAAACATTAACACGAGATACAATACCGATATTGAATATTACTTGTTCTACAGGACTGGAACACGTGAGTGATGTAAACTTTAGCCCGAATCTTAAGTGAGATAAGAGCTGGACCTGACTCTGTAACCGAGGAATTCGTCATTGTATTACAACAAGAGTACAAGCTTGTAATTTGACACAAACCTGCGCAATTGCTTCTATTGATCCCCAAAAAAGTGTATCGTGTTGCAGGAATTATCCCAAATCGCTTCAAAACGGAAAAGTGAAAAGTGTGAGGAGAAACGTGTGAGTGAATGTGGTGCATTAAATAAAAATGATCTTTGAAATAGGAGAGTGCACCTGAAAAACTAAAGGAAAAGTATTGCATCCTTATTAGACGAACAAGCGCACTCCTTGAAAGGGTTACAGCCTCCATGTGCAAGACGAGAATAATGTCGGCTGTACCCCAGTATCCAACTGAGTTACTTGTTATGGCTCGCTTCGCTTTGGTATTTGTGCTCAAAATATTCAACAATTTTAATTTTTAATGGAGAAAAAAGACGCAATTAGCGTCATTATGGTTTCCATTTGTTCCAGTTCGATTTCATAATTTTAAGTTTACTATTGCAATAATACCCTTCAAAATTCGTGGTTTTATTCACAAAAATCCAACTGGAAGATAAATAAATACACGAGAACAAAAATTTACAAGTAGTGATCTAGCATCGGAACAAGAATAATATTTGCATATATTCACTGATTCATTGTAATACAGAAATAAAGAGTTGGTCGTTGAATGGTTTCTTTTAATTTTTTCTAATAGGAGGTTGAAATGGTTTTCGTCGCGACTTAAAGAACTAGAGATGGACATGATGACAAAGAGAGTCCAGTGTGACCATGACGTTCAAACAACGTTTGTTTATCTCTTCTCCTTATAAGGGACTTTCTCGCTACAACTGTTTATAGTATTTACTATGCAAATAAGATTTAAGTCGTTCAGGAAAAGACTTTGTCTAAATTATGAAGTTTATTTCGACATATCAGTTTACATGTACATCGAATGTGAAGCAATATCCTCACTTTCATTTTAATCCGGTGAAATATTGGAAGAATATCAAGAATGAAAAGGTCTGAGGGAAAAAAGCCAAAAAGGGACATGTAATTGCGGCTCATCAAGTTGTGGTTGGAGTCTTGTATGATCGCTTGCTGTTCATAACAATATACAACGATTTAGACCATCTACAATGTTTTGTAGTTGTTTTGAGGATTTTACTGCATGATGGATCCTAGAAAATTTTTAAAACGTCTCGCAACAGAGCTCGGATTAATGAAAAATAACTCAAACGCACAGAAAAAGGCTGAAAAAGTTTCCGAACCTGCCGATTTTGAACATCGTGTTCATGTGGCTTTGGATGAGGATTCGGGGCGATACGTTGGTTTACCAATGCAATGGAAACAAATAGTCGGAAGGAAATCAGACGATTTTGCCGGTTCTGGAGATTCACATCCAGTGTCGAGAAGATCTCTCACGCAGAGAAACACCAATATACTGGATGACAACGCGCTTGGTCACACTTTGTCACAAAGAAACACGGGGAATTTCGCAATTTTTGCCGCTTCTTTAGAAACGCCGGGATCAAGAGCAAGTGTTGCGGATAACCAAGATTTAATAATAGAGAGACTAAAACGAGAGTTGAGAGATTACAAAGCAAGAAATCCGCATGGATTCCAAGAATTGAGGGAGGATGGACTTCTTTCAGGTGAACGTATTAATTATTCCTTACAAAATCTCGGTGATACAACGGTGACTCAGTTTTCGCTTTTAAAGAAAACAAACTCAAATAATACATTTCGAAGAAATACCAAACGGTTTGACGCCTTAGCCGAAGAGGATTACGATTTCCCCGAAAACAAGCGTAATTCAAGGAGTTATAATAATACGCTGTCATCAACTGCAGTATCTGGGTACAGCCGAGATGGTTCATCTTCGACAAAAAGACACGCAATCGAATCAGCGAATTTTCAACGGGTCCTGAAAAGATCGGAAAGCGAGGTGTGAAACGAAAAATTGGTCATGTTGCTTTAAATTTTGTTGACTTGAAAAGATTTGACTGGAGGTAATTATTGCTGTAAATTTTGGCTAGAGAACCCCAAAATATATTCCGTTATAACATTGCTTAATTTGTTCACATGGCAAAAAAGGTTCCATTAAATTAGTCCTGAAAGAAAAAAAGCTTTGTTATCTGAGAGAATAAGGTCACTCAAAGATAAAAAAAGAAAGTAACAGCGATGCTTAACTGTCCACCAATATCTTTTTTTGTGAATATTATAGCCAAGAGAAATACTAGACATATGCAAATATATTAAGAATAGAGCAGTAGACTTTGTCTGTCTTCCTGAGGCAAACATTATTTTAAACAATGAAAATTCAATCAATCAGTTTTGACTGATGTGAGGCAAACTTCTTTCTTGAAAGGCGGCTTAGCTTTAAACGACTTGTAAACATACTTCTTGTACACTGCAAATGTTGCTTTTATGGTGTCGCTTTTAAGCGATATTGTTTTACTTAAACTTATGTTCACTTAGTAGTATGTTTTAAGAGAAAAACACAATTTTATGTTAATGTTTACGTTTAAAATATAAAAATTAAAATATATTCTAAAGAAAACTTAGAAGTGAAAATATTGTTTTCGAATCATATTATGAAAATGCAAATCCATTCTTAACCAAGCCCTGATGCATTCTACGATTCAAAATAAACGGTCGATAAGCGCTCGAAGGCGTCTTTATGATATTGTGGTCAGGACTGACAGTTCTAAAAGTAGAGCAGTATTATAGTACTTTACTTGGCACTTATCAAGCAGAATCCAGATTAGAGTTGATGTTGTTCAGGTTAATACCATAACTCGCAGAATTTGATACGTAATTCTGTCTTTTGGCCGTCGCGTATTTTAATGAGGCGTGAGAATAGAGTTTGTGAAAACAACCTCCAGATCAGTTCTTGTATTTTCGTCACCTGCTTCAGTTCTGATGAATACTAAAAAATTGCGAGCAGAGTGTACGAGCCAATGGGACTCACATCAAATAGTAAGAGGGAAGAAATCAATGGAATCCGGATAATCAGGGCAATTACAACATTCGAAAGAAAATAAAGAAACTATTAAAATTGACGCCAAATATCTGTGCTAATTTAAACCATTGACTTACAAACGATGTTTGTCTCGACTCTGAAGACGACATCCAGTCAATTTGTGGAAAAGTCAGTCGCTATTATGAACCACAGTCATTTTAGATACTCAGCCAACCAGGAGAAATCAGACTGTTGGGGGGGGGGGGGGGGGGGGGGGGGGGGGGGGGGGGGGGGGGGGGGGGTGCACGAACTGAACTTTCTTTCAGAAAAGCTCTTTGCCACCAGTTGTTCAAATCAACCCGCGGGAGGCGATTCTAACGCTGTAGCACTAATATTGAAATTGCTTGCCTAGCAGTTATTCGTTGCTATCAGAAATAACTGGAACCAAATAGAGGAATAATACAGCCACTCTGATAATCATTAGAGTAATTGTGAGTATTTACCCATGCCACTAGCATCCATTGTAATATCATTGCAGCCGCAAGTTTGGACATTAGGGATGGACTATAAGTTTCTTATAATCTTCAAGATGTGATAGCATTTCTAATTTCTTACCAAACCAGACTACTCGCTGTCTTTACTAGCACCTTTTACCTTGCACCCTATGAACGAACTGAACACGTGGAGCAGGCTAAGTTTCAAAGTATTGTTTGAAACTCAACCTGCTCCACACGTTCAGTTTGTTCACCAGGTGCAATAGTCACGCAGCGCGAATTAACGATGAGAAGTAGATCACATTATATCGGAGACACAGCCTGAGAAATCTGAGGCGCTCAGCTACCTTTCTGTTTCTAATCCAAATACTCTCGCACTAAAGAAGCATTGATTTTCGTGCGCGTAATGTGATGTACCAAGTCGCTCATGAGGAAAGAATAAGGAACTAAATCAATACAACGTTCGGTAAAGCATCCCACCGCCTAATAGTTGGGTTGCATATACTGGTAAACACTTAACCACCGGATAGCGATTTATCTAGCCTTTGAACAACCGAGGCCTTGCGGATAGCTCAAGGTTTAATTTTTTTTACAAGTTTTGACGATTATTTCATTATCATTTCAGCCGTGACTAAACAGAAAAAAAAGTAAAGCCCGTGAAAAATAACTATGTCTTATTTCACATCATATTTTGCTATTTTGATTGAGGGATCATTTAACGCGAACGACTACGACAAATATTAAAGTTTTGTTACTTCCCTTTCAGTTTCTGCATTTTGTGTAAAACGTTTGTACTCATTGCGAGACCCTTCTCTATTTTGTTTTGGAAGAAAAATGAGAGAACCCAGATGTTAATTTGAAGATGGATTTTCTCGAAAAGAACACCACAGATCAGAAATCCTGATCCAGATTCTCCCAAAGGAACGCACCCAAAATGTGCCTCTAATGAATGGGGTAAAATTTCCGCACAGCCCCATACTTCATTATGCATTCAGTTCTTGAATAGAGAAAACAATGACTAAAACAATACATTGCCATTGGGAAAACAGATTTGTTTTACAATAGTATGGGGCTGTGCGGAAATTTTACCATGAATGGCGCTAATTAAAAAATCGTGCGCGCTAAAAACCCGTGCAGTTAGACGAGCCATTCAGGGAAGAGCTCAATAACCCACGACGAACAGCTGCGACAAAAACTGAAGTTTTCTTACTTCCCTTTCAGTTTCTGCGTTTTGTGAAAAAACTTTTGAACTCTTTATGTGACTGCCAACAAAGTCAGGTTTCAACACGCGAACGCTTTAAGATTTATTTACATTACAGTTGATCGTGGTTGCTAAAAGAAAAAATAATTACAAGTTATCACGAAGTAGAAGCTATAGCAAAACGCAAAGCAACAGAGGAAATACAATCGGACAAGGAAAGACACTTACAAACGTTGTGTGACTTGCGAGCATGAAGAACGGAAAAACTAAAAGATGATCGCAGCGAATGAATCGATGTTAACCTAATGCACTCTGATACTCCAATGTTCAATTTTTTCTGAGAAGCTTTTACGAATGAAATTAAACAAAGCAGAATTATGCGAAAAAATCTAACAGAATACAAATCGCCGTGAGTGAAAAGAATACGAAAACAATAAGAAAAATGTTCGTGCAATAACACAAAAATATATTTAGGAACGTAAAAGGAAAGAAATCTCTAAGCGGGAATGCTGCAGTAACACTTGCCACGCCCTTCTGTATTTTGTCTTGGAAGAAAAATGAGGGAACGTAGATGTTAATTTGCCGTTTCCGTTTGCGTTTACCACAACAAAATGTGCCTCTAATGAATAGTGCTAATTAGAAAAATCGTGCGCGCTAAAAACCCGTGCAGTTAAACAAGTCATTCAAGGAAGAGCTCAATAACCCACGTGCACGCATAAGTTTTAAAAGGCGCACTTTATCACAAGCTTTGAAAAATTCTACTTCAGTGATCAATTCTTGTCACAATGTTAGCCCTTACACAGTGTTTTCTCTCTTGGAAGCCCTCTTTCGTTTCTCGTTTTGTCAAACTTAACATCACGTATCATTTCTGGCAACGGACGGAAGCAGGTAAGTGTTTATCGACGCATATAGAAGCAAGCAAAACTGTGTAAACTAATTCTAAAAGAAGCTGAGCCATTTTCAAATTAAAGAAGGGCTCCAGGTCAAAGCTTCGTTTTATCAAATCATTTAATTATTTCCAGTCGCTCCTTTTTCCGCCCAGAAGCTGCAAATAACTTAGCAGTAGGAATTCTATTGCGTAATTTTTTTTTGCAAAATCGGCTTCCTTGAAATTCTTCTTTGAAACTGTTGTCGCGCGGAGTACCATTTCTAATCTTCCATCTTCTTTGCTGAAATTCCGCGTAAGCAATGTAGTGAAAGCGTGGTTCGTGCTCTTAAATTTTAGTTAGTTAAAAGTTTGAAGCGAAACTCAGTGTTTTAAGTAATGCATATTAATTTTGACAGTAAGTATATCTAAAGCTTATTCATAGAGGCATTAGTTTTGAACATTGTGCGTAATATAGAGATGACGAGTGAATTAAGGCAATATTTTAATTGACTTCCTAAGCAGATTCCGAGAATTTCCTTCGTCTCAACCCTTAAATTCCAAGATCAGATCATCAATTCTCCCCTTGGGCTGCCAAACATGTCCTTCCAATTAGTTACAAGAATTTGATATCAGATCAAGATAAAAACATTAAGGAGGTAAATTTGAATATTCTCACTTCCTGTTTGCTGGATAATGCATAAATAATGTATGGAGAGGTTACATTTTAATCACTTCTTAGACTTAAAGAGTTAACCGCTCGTTATAAAAAGTGAAAAATTAAGTTCAAACTTCTGTCTTTTTTCCTTTTTAATCGAAACATCTGAATGATAAAAATGTCAGTAATACGGTTTTTAATCAAAGAAGGTTTGTAAATCTCTGATATTTTAGACGAAAGCTCCTTTTTTTTAAAGCATGTTTTGATTTTCGGGAATTCAAGACAAAAAGTCCTTTTCTTATCTCAGTTGTTTGTTATAAATTCAAATCTTGTTTATATGATTGGCTGTTATCTCGACTATCTGCATAAGATTTAATTTGCCTGTTTGTTGGCTTCTTTTCTGGGCTTGAAATGAAGCGATAATCTGCAAATGTTTAAATTGACTTCTACAATAAGATTCTTCAAATTTCGCAGGGAAAATTAAGGTGCGCCTTGATATTTACTCGCCATGACTCCAGATGAAACTGATATTTGACAATATGAAGGGGGCTTCGTTCTCAGACAAAATTAATTTTTTTTGGTAATCTTAAAAATCTAGGGATTATTGACATTTAATTTCTCGTTATATTATCACCCCTTAATCACAAATTAAAGTCACACACATAAGAGGAAATGAAATAATCACCGACAAACGAAGCTCATATTAGTTAAACACTTTTTCCTTAAGAAATGTATAGAGAACAGTATTGGCGATAAAAACACTGCTGTAAAGATGTGAAGGGAACAGTTTTTCCAATCTTATTACTCCCGAAGGTTACTCTGGAAAAATGACTCAAATTTATCGCATGTCAAACAACCAAGTTTTGCAATGTTTCAGTAAAAAGTGTCCAAAAGAAAATCCCTATTTAGTTCATCTGACATGTGCAATGGTTGCGAACTCAGAATATTATTATTTTGCGATGTTTTCCCCTTTACAATGGGCCACGATGTCTTCGCGTATTATTAATTTCACCTAAATATCCACAATATCTTTCTCATTTAGACTTATACGACACACTCCAGTTCAAACACGACTCAGTCCATTCCTGTCCAGCTAGTCCAGATCACTTGACCTCAGTCCCGCTGACTTCATTTCAGTAGAGTCCAGTTCATTGTGCATTTAGTCCAAAACTCAGCGTCCAGTTCCATGCAGTCCAGTACGACCCGCTCCAGTCCTCGCCATTCCTTTCCTTATGGTCGAGTCCATCGTCACAAGGCAAGTGCTGACTCTCGTTACCGGTATAACTCGCTTATGGACGGGAAAGCGTGGTGAAGAAAAGGGCCGACGTTCCATTGGGTTTTTTCGTCCCTTCTTCTCTGTTGTATACGCGGAGGCTGGGAACAGATCAGTTAGAAGACGCTGATATCCGGCCGGTTAGTAAGGTTCTTCGCGGGTTGGGATGAAAAAAGAGTTAATGGATAGTGCACTGGTTAAACCATAAAATCCAAATTCTACTAAAAGTTG